TAATGGGTTGGGGTTAAAAGAATAGGTCATGGGGCAAAAAAAGAGTTTTCCATCCTGGAGCATGAATCATTTCAACGATTTTCAGAGAAAGAGAAATTTCGGAGAGAGTGTGAAACACAGTGTCTTGTGGGTGAAGATTAAATTTTTCTAAACTTTTAGAGGAAATCTCATGAGTCATCCAGATTCAGAGGTTCATTATCAAGGAGCGATAAATGTGCTCAGTAAATTTCATGGCATGATTTGGTTATTTATTGTGTAGACGTAGAAATGTTGGCATGGCTGTGTTGCTGGATGGGCCAGGATCAAGAAAAACATTAGGATTCATCCTCTGGGGACCAGGAATATCCAGTGTTAATGTTATTGATAAAGGTGACTAACTAGCGACTAACAAGCCGACTGGAACAACAGTAAAGCATATACAACTAGAGGCGGGCGATCTGACGAGCTTGTATCATGGATGGATCTTACTTTGGCATATGATCTATTTTTCAGATGAATCGTACAGATCGCATCATCAAAAGGTTCTATACTTAGATATTCAATTTAAAAAAGTTCAATCTTAGATGTGGCGCTACACCGAGCGCCACATCTAACATGAGGTGGGATGAGCCGGGGCTAGCTGGTTAGCAGCAACTGAACTTTCAAAATCAAAATACTTACATATAGCACCTCATACATAAACAACAGTGCTGCCCAAACCAATACTCCATATGAACTAAGCAAAAAGTGAGATTGGCTGCGACACATTTTGTAAACAGAAGACAGAATTTTGGGTGAAGAGCAAACAAACATCCGGAAGAAGCTTCTAAAAATGGCAGAAAAAGGTATGAATCAAACTTCAACTTCCATTAAGGGGCTTTCACAATAAAATCTGAACAGAAACAAGATGCAGATCAAGACTGAGACATATGATCTTTTGGCCAGATCACCCACCCCTACATACAAATACAAATGTACTAGTGTGCAAACCTCTGAACCTTCCTCTCATTACAAAGCATGATCCTCTGCATTAGTTTCCTGCCAGCACATCGACCTTGTGTGGCAGTCAAGTGCATATGGAGGCATGCATCTTCTTGCATCAAATGTCCATGGACATAAGAAAAAAAATATAGAATCTATATATATTTTGCAGGGAAGAGCATAAGGTCTTCATCGCGCCTGCAGCAGTTTCAGGCAGGGAAGCGTACTGTCCTGCTGTCTGTAGCAGGATTCAATTAGCTCCCAGTAAACAATGCTTCTGTTTTCCCCATCTGTAATTATGTCCGCCTGTTATCTCTTTACCCAGCATCCTCCTGGGCGTAACAGACAGAGACGGAGCAGGAAAATGTTATTAGAGGGAGGAAAGAAAGGATGACAGCGATCACAAGGAGCATGGCAGCGAGCTGTCAGAGAGACCTGGTGAACCTGGAGAGCTGCGATCCCCCTGTTGCTGCATGATGCTAATGTCATTTCTGGCTACATCGACAGTGCAGCTGTCTCCTCCTGCACAGCTGCGACCGACTTTGGCCGTCACGTGTCGGAGGATGGGCATGGGAGTTAAATAGCCCGGGAAGAAGCATCTGTTTACCTCTATAATGAGGCCCTGAAGGAGGTGGGAGAGAAGGGCTGAAGTATGGAAAGGAAGAGAGAGAAAGAAAGAGAGGAAGATGAGGAGAGTATATGAATCTAGCAATCCTTTGGTAGAGAGAAAAGGATCTCAGATGGGAATATACGTACGCCTGATAGAGAGCAAGAGACAGAGGGAGAAGGAGACATTAAGAAATCACCCGATGGAATACAGTCGCCCATTAAACAATCCTCCATCTGGTGAAGCTGCAGCAACAGTGACGGTTTAACTTCGAGTGATTGATTTCATTTTATTTTTCATCCAGGGTTGACTTTCTAAAATGACACCTATGTAAATGCAACGTAGTGTAACTCTTGACTTGCAAGGTTGAAAAATCAGATTGCATGTGCTCTTGCTACTGGGATTAAAGCTGAGATCAACAATGAATTGATCCTGTGCATAAGTATTAGCAGTTTATCCCTGAGTGCCAGTGAGACACACTTTTGGTGACGTTTCTTTATTAACACGAACACAGCTACTTTAGTTTATTTAGGATCAATCCTACTTACTCTACTCCATCCTGCTGTAAATACTAACGCACCAAATATGTATTGATCTGCAGCTGAAAATAGTTCCCAACAAAGGTGCTATTTACACCTGATTGAGTAGTTTGCTAAAAAAGCTTTTTAGACATAACACTACATCTGTAAGCCGTCATCAGCATGAATAGGTTTCGGCCACAGTGCCTCGGTTTTGGCCTTTTTTATGGGATGATTTAACAGGATAAATATTGAATGACACTAACATTATTCTTAATTCTTTAAAAGCTTTTCGCTTTTATTTAAAGGGGCTATTTGTAAGTTTTCCCTGGTGGGGTGGTGGCGATTGTTGTTGGACAAAAGCTTCAGCTATCATTGTGTTTACAAGACCTGAGGCTATAATACGTCCTCTGAGCAGCGCTACGTCTTCAGGGCAGATTTGGGGCTACAGTCAGCCGCTACCGTTAGCTGGTTAGCATGCTAACTTCAATAGAACTACTGTGTTTACATTCAAAATATCGCTTGATGCATGTTTAAGTAGGTTACATAGATTGATTTGCAATAGCATTAAAAATGCTGTTACCTCTCTATATGAATATAACTCATGCATTCACATTGAGTCATTGAGGTTCTTTATTATTATTACAAAAAAAATGCTCTGCCAATATCCATCCAGCTCCCCTCATCTTTTCACACCGAACACGAGCAGCACTGAGCAACAACATGTGGCCAACTGAACTTTTTTATTTTTTATTTTTTGTCCTAACTGAATTGTACTGACAGCCTTCGGTCTGCGAACACTCCTCCCGCTTTTCAATAACAAAAACTGTAGCTTATCAGTTCACTACAAATGTATTATAACACAGACAGATGCCTGGGAAAGGAATGAAATCAATACGCTCCCGAGTGTCCCCCTGTTATCAGCATCACTTACAGGAAAGGAGGAGGAAGGTGGAGCAGGAATGCCAATCAGAACCAATCAGCCACAGGTATGTCGTGTTATTTTGACCGTGAATAGCAGGTTTTGACATGAAATTGTGGATTTTCAAGGACAAAAAAAGGAGGAGAGGTGAGAGGAAACAATGTCGTGACTGTAGATTAAACCCTGAGCAAAGAGCAAACAGAGGCAGCAGACAGTGAGAGGATGGAGAGAGTCATGGGGACAATAATAAAGGGAGGGGAAGGGGGGGGGGGGGGGGGGAGCAAATTAAGTGCTGGGAGATA